AAGCACCGTCGGCTGTGGGGAAACCGGCCGGGACCTACATCGTTCATCAGCACCAGCAAAAGCGAATTGACAAAGCTGAGCTTTTAACTTTGCCTTAAACCTCAATAACAGTGAGCTCCCACCTCTGGACAGCCCCCAAAGCCAGAGATGACTGAACAGGAGTAGAGGCATAAGGATATTGGCAGGAGATTTTGAACTAAGACTATGCAGGCTTTAAAAGCAAGGACAGCAAATTTAAAAGTAGTGAAGTATTTTCCCCATGTGCAATACTACCAGGAAGAGTTGAATAACCTCGTGAAGTGCTTGGAGGTGACCCAGCCCTGAGCGGCATTGTATAGAGACCTGCCTAAGAGAGCAGATACCGTTTCACAAACTCTGCTCAGGGTTAAAACAGAGGAAGAGTTGATATCCTTAACTAGAACAGAGAACCAGTAATCTGTCAGATGGGCAGCACATCTAGACAGTAATCTACCAGATGGGTAGCTTTGATTTAACAATATATTACAACCTGAGAGTCATTTGAGTGTAAGCAGTTAAAATAATTGTTCTCGAGTGCCTCAGAGGAGAGGAAAGCCAGATAAAGTTCACAGAGAAGGTATATCAAAAGTGTAAATATCTTAGTCCACCACTGGAGCCAGCATACCCTCAGGCATTTCACACTACCTTGCACTGACAAGTGTGCTGTGTACATATGGGACAGTGAGGATCTCTGAAGTGGTGGGAGAGACCCAGCAACACAGCTGAGGCAGCAACACGGCTGAAGCAACCATGCATTCATCTATCAGCATTATGGCAAGCCACCACTGCGAGGTAGTTGCAAAAAGGGCAAACTCAGTCCTGAGTTATACTCAGAGTAGTATTGAAGTGGAGATGTTTGAAAACTCTTGTATATCTCACTAGTAAATCACAGTCAGGGCAGATCAGTTCAGCTGGAACAGGTCCAGAGAAGAACGACCGCGATGACAAGAGGAACAGGGTACCTGTTTTACAAGAGAAGATCAGAAGAACTTCACTCAACTTCCTTGGTAAAATGAAGGCAACAAAGTGACGTGACTTTTGTGCATAAATATAATAGAAGGAGGGTATAAATAACAACTCGAGGTAAATGTAATATGAGCACAAGGACAAATAGGCATCAGCTGCTAAGGAAACCATGCCAGGACCAGTCACCTTGCGCTGTGGTGCCAGCACAGAGGTCCTCGGGCTATTGATAGCTGCTTGGCAGAGGTAATGGCAACATGCAAACACGTTAGCTTGAGGAAGCATGCAGGCACTTACCTGCAGGAGCAGGCTTATCAGCAAACAAATGAAAACAAATGCAAACAGCTGTCAAACGGAGGAGAAAGAGGGAGGAAACAAGCAAAAAATGGCCAGCTCCTGCTTATGCCTTTTGACCTCTGTGAACTGGTTGGCTTTCCCTGGGGACTCTCCCCGGTGGAAGGCAACAGCCTGGAGTCGCAGCAAAGTGTCCACTGCACACCTGCCACAGGAGGACCTACTGCCACGGAGAGCAGAGCGTCCAGGGCCCACCAGGGCTATGGGTCAGCTCACAGCAGCTCACAGCACAGCTTGATAGAATAGAGTGATCATTTAAAAAACAATCAATATCTATCTGATAGATTGAGCAGACTTAAAGCTTGCATAAGCGGTAAGAAGAAAAGCAACAGAAAAAAGTAAATTAATCGAAACCCCATGGGCAGCAGAGTTGATTCTATGGCCAGGCACAAGGTGAGAATTTATTGACTGTTCTCTAAGGCTAATTTTTAGGGAAAAGAGAGAGCAGCCATGTGGTAAGGAGCTTTCCTAAAAATCTCTTTCAAATTAAAGAGCAAGATATTGGAAAACAATGAAAAAGTCTGATACTAATGAGTGCATTATATAAAAAAGATTAAAAAAATAGACTGTGAGTCTCATCTGTGGCCACAGAACAGTGGAAAGCTGTTATGAGCAGTTCAGAAGACTTCTGTTGTGTGAATTTGGCCAAAGGACAGACTGGCTTAGTGGAAAAACAACTTTTCTCCTTTACGATGCTGTATCAGGTGGATTTGGGACAGGCTGGAGATAGGTCAACGACACCACCAGCTGACTGAGATGGATGCTATGGCTTCACATGGAGCAGGGTGTGGTCATGTAAGTGCTGAGTGCCCTGCACAAATGCTGAGTGCTGAGGCACTGGGTGGGACCAGGACGACCCTGCAGGCTGTGACCTTCATGCATGTACAGTAGATGCCATATACCTTGCAGGGCAAATGGGTTATTCTCCTCACTTCTCTTCTTGGCATTAACCAACACTGTGGCAGAGGCAAGCCCCAGAAATGTCTGGTGTAAATCGCAGCCTGTGTGGGAAGGAGGAACTGCGCAGCACCTCGCACGGTGAAGCCTGCTCCTCAGACAGTGTTCCTTGGCACTACACATCTGCAAACAATATTTCACCCCTGGGATTTACAAGCTTTCTGAACGAAATGAGGAGTCCACCAAGAAGCTGCTATCCTCTGGCGCAAAGTAGACTTGTGGGTCAGTCGGTCTCCCATCTGCATGGAGATGACGCAGACAAGCACAGGGGTTTCAACACCAGACTACGTTGGAGCCTGCAGAGTAGAGCAGGATCAGGAGCAGATGCATGACCCTAACAGCAGAAAGGCCCCACTAGAGAAACCACTGTTTCCCATCTGTGGAGGGAGCCTCCCACATGTCACATCAGGAGGCCCTGAAGGCCCAAGGTCACCACTCCCACTGGAGCTTGGCCTGTGTTTGCACCCCAGGGAGCTTGGACTGAGCAGTAAGTAGGAGGTGGTGGTGCAGACAGACGGGATGAGCCGGCTCCAGGGCGCTTGGGTAGAAGCGTGGACAGCAGGTCCAGAAGAGATGCAAGGGGACGCAGGGAGGTGCATGCTAAGCACGTCTCTTACAGAGTGTCTCATACCGTCAGGACACATTCAAGTGGGAAAGCAATTGGAAGGGCGAAGTAATACTGCAATCCTTTTTGACTGCTAGATTCATATCTTACTATCTGCTGCAAAAATAACTAACCTCTTTCTTTGCAGAAGAATAATGGATCACCCTGATATTATGAATAGACAAACACAATTGCAAGAAGGATTGCAAAAAAAGGTCCCTTAAGAGAACGAATTAAACTATTTGATGAGAAGTATTAGAGTGTGAGGATGAGTAATAGCCACTACAAATAATAGACCCGCTCCATCTAGCAAAGCAAAAGAAACACATGCTTGGGCCTGATGATAGAAATCCCGAGTGACTTAGACCCCCTCTTCAAACGGTGCCTGAAGAAGGACTCCTGCTCAGTTGCGCCAGTTCTGGGTTCACCGAGCTGAGACAGATGGAAACCCGGAAAGCCTCTGATGTTGTAATCGCTCAGTAATATGCTCGTTGTCACGTTTGGGTTTACTACTTACATCTGCAAACAAATTACAGAGTCATTTCCCAGGATAGCTAATATCTAGTTCATTATAATTTAATGCTCAGCCACAATGTCCCACAAAGCATGAAACAAGAGCTGTGCCTCTCCCGCAGCAGCACGCCGCCCTTCCCAAGCCCTCCGCACCGGGGCCAAGCCCTCCGCCGGCAGCCGCCCCGTC